TCTCTCTCTCTCTCTCTCTCTCTCTCTCGTGCCAGGTACTAACCTGTGAAGATGGTGCTGTGCTGCAGGTACCTCGATGACGAGCTGGAGCTATGGCGCTGCAGGTAAGTCTCCCTGGCCTCCGCCCAACCTCTATCTCTCTCCAGTGCTACTCTAGCTCCTAATAGCGCCCAGCGCTGAAGACTACTGCTAACGCTACTACTACTACTGCAGCGCTCCTCCAGACTGCTGCTGCCGAATCCTGAAGACTACCTCCTGCCTCCTGAACTGCACGTGAAGTGCCTGGGAAGTCCCTATGAACTACCTGCAGCCTGCAGGGCGGGCCAGTCTTATATAGTGCTGGCCCGTCCAGGAGGCTGCTCTTGCCAATCCCAAAGCGTGCCAGACCCTGGCGTTGAAGCTCAAACAAAGGTTGTTTTGAAAACAGGCCCAAAATGGCCTGTGCTAAAACCCTGGTCTGGTGCCTGAGTTTCAGGGCAGGTCGATCTTATGAGGGCCTGAAAATGGCCCTCCGTTTCAGGCTGAAAAGACTCAGGGCCTGGAGGGCCCTTTTTAGGCTGAAACGACACAGGGCCTGTAGGCCCTTGTTTTCAGGCTGAAACGACACAGGGCCTGAAAATGGCCCTCGTTTGCAGGCGGAGGGTGCCTTGGGCGACCTATGAAACCTCCCATTGCTGGCGACCGAGTAGCACCAATCTCAGCCGATACCTCCCTGTGTGTGGTCGAGGCTGTGGGCTCTGTGCTCGAGTGTTCTCTGTCTGTTGGTGGGTTCACTGCGCCGACAGGAGGCTCGACTTGGTGCGTCCAGCCTCCGGACAGACATCCTCCCCTCGCACTGTCCCTGACACTCCTCCCCGCCTTTTTTTCTTTTTTTTTTCAAGAAGAAGGTTATCGGCACTCTCTACTACGCAGGAGGGTGAGCCATCGGGCGAGGGTTCTTCTAAGGGCCCTGAATCTGTTATGCAGTCCAACCTTGAAGCCTCATCTTCTGCTGATTCTTAAGTTGTGCTGCACAATATCCTGTATGAAGAGCCGTGGGAGGAGACTGCTGAAATACACTTCCATTACCACATGGAGCGTTGGGCCAAGCTTAGGCAAAGTCGGTGTCAAGGGGAATTAGAATTTAGAACTGATCTATTTCAAGCTCCTCATCACTACTTACATCCGTGCATTGATTGATAGTGGTGCTATTGCTAACTTCTCAACTCCGCGTGGGATTCGTAGAGTAACTTCAGGAACTCCCTTTTGATCTCTTCCGCTTCCATGCGTCTCTTTCCTCTCTATTTTTGTTGGATCTTGACAAAGTGCACAGGATAGCTGTGCTGTATCATATGTTGAACGATTGGGCTAGCTGAAGTTCGAAGTGGCCGCTCGATCGATCAATTGTAATAGTATTATGATCAAGGCTAGTTGAAGTTCGAAGGGGCCGTGTTGATTATCCAAGGACATGACACATGGCATGCATCCGGGAGGTTGCATGGTTCCAGAACCCCTTGCGCAAGCTCCTTACCTCACAGAAAGACGCACCCTTCGGATTAAGAAACCTGATTTGGGGGGCCGCGGGAACAGACCTTGGTTCGGGTAAAGATGGACGGGGCCCAATCCTGGATCTTCATCCCGTTCGACAAGGCTCGTCTGATTCCGCTTCCACCAGGGCTGGGAAACCTATCAGCCCTGGTGCCTATCACTGCTGTTCGGTCCAAGTTGCCTGCCCATTGGTAGGGTAATGGTCCTGACTTCTGGTCACACTGAGGTAGGATAGTGGGATAGGGGGTGCGCTAGGAGTATTGACGTGAGGATGGGATGGGAGGTGGTCTCATATTCCAGGACACCCACGGCCCACTGCTCCAGGTGATCACTGTGCACTCAGTGACCGGCCTCTACAAATAATTGTTTTTTTAATATTTATGCTTGTCCTTGCAGTTCAGCAATTCAGAAATGTGCGGCCAAATAGTGACCCCGCCAAAATTTCAAAGAAGCAGTTATAGCATTGCCAGTATTGGGCATTTTCTTTTTTTCATTCTTCTTCTTGAAGTTCTTATGCATGCGCAAGCGGCGGCCGTTCGGAATTGTAATGCACGCAAGCCATCTTCCCGCTGATGCAAACACGCCAACTTCTCTTCTTGCTCCTCCCCTTCTTCGCCGACCTTCTTGCTTCCCTTCGTCTTCCTTCTCGGTCCTAGATGGAAGATGATTGGTCGCATCTCGAGTTGGTCAGATCGATCCGTAAGAGTGAAAGTTTGCGCATGGCTCGGACGGTCAACCCAAGTTTTGCGAAATTTTCGATCATCCCGCCAACTAGTGATCACTCCGCTCTAGAAGGGTTCTCTTACTCGTAGGGATAACCTCTGACTGACATGGGAAATTCCGGTTTTGTCCTGGGATTTCACTTACTTGCTCGGCCACGCCCCGTACTCTCGTCTGCTTTCCCCCTACCGGCACGAAGCGTCGTTCATGGCATGAGGTTGCGTATCACAAGACACGATCTGTTCACTGTCATTGAGTAGCTCAAATGGTCGTCAGGTTTATGCAGGGAAGCCAGGTTCTTTGGTTTTCAGATTGTCCAGGATCCAACCTGCTATGATATAGATTTCTGCGCTTAGGGTGGGGTGGATCCCTCACTTTGTAGCTCACCCTACACTTCTTCCATCAATACCTCAGGTGGGGGCATGGTTGGCAAGTGACGAGAGTCTACATCCATTGGTTCCTGGCCAAAGGCCTGGCCCAGCAGATCGGGGCCTATCATGTGAGCCCTATTCTCCTTCTTTTTTGCTTCTTTTGGTCTTCTTTACCTCTTTTGCCTATCCCTTCTGCCTCACTAGGCCTGGTGTCTTATGTACCTGGACCGGGTGTCATTTTTCGGTCAGCAATTCAAGTTGCTTTGCATTTTTTGTTAATTTTTTAAACAAAATATTTCACTCGCAAAGCAACATGCACTTGAGAGCAATCAGGTAAAGCTCACGCGAGCTTGAGATACGGCCATGAACATTGAACAGTGCAAATTTGAAGTTCCACTCAGATAAAAAAATAATATATACAATTGGAGAAGTTCGGAATTCGGCGGTACCAACTGCTGAAAAAAACCCTGATTCAGATCCCGACTATCCCCTGTCCGATCTGCTGCCTCTCTCTCTCTCTCTCTCTCTCTCTCTCTCTCTCTCTCTCTCTCTCTCTCTCTCTCTCTTTTCTTCTTCTTCTTCTTCTTCTTCTTCTTCTTCTTCTTCTTCTGCACTGTTCTCCCTCGTTGCTCTCCCTTTCTGTTCTCTCCTCTGTCTACGCCCGAGATCTACCCTGAATACTGCTGCAGCGTGTCTTTCTCAACATCCTGCTTCTTCCCCCTCCTGGCTATGGCCGTCTCCTTCAGCCAGGGCACTGGGCATCTTCTCCCTTCAGTGCACTTCTTCGTCCAGGTCGCTAGTTCGCACAGCTCCAACAGCGCTCCACAAATTTGCAAAAAAATGAACAACTTTCTGCTGTCTGGTACTGTAGCCCATAATATATTGTTTTCGTGGGCTGGGCCTGCCTGCTTCAATCGGTACTGGCCTTATTTTGCCACTGCCCTGCCAAGTTGCTATT